TTTCAGGCACCAAGGAAAATGAAACATGATGAAGCCAGTAACCCCTTACAGGATATTTGTACATTTTGGGGGGTTTACACGCTCTGGGCTCATTTAGAAATGAAAGGCACGCCCCGCATCGACGAGCGCCCTCGCTTTGGGCGATGCGCTTCATGTCTGCTCCATACCCCGACCACCTCCGTGACGCTCCGTACCTCCAGGTCACTCATCTCGACCTTGGTAGGGCTGCCGACGTGCGGAGGTACGCTATAGACCCGTCCAGAACAAGCAGCGCCGGTCATACAACCCGTGCCATGCGTGGACAAACGCGGCGACAACAGATGTCTGTCATTGTCATTGGGTGATGTCGAAAGCCAAGCCAGAGGGGAACCTACGTATCTGTCTGGCAAAAGACTGGAACATGTGAACCGTTGGACCAGTCATTGCAATGTTTATGCGCCGGAACGCCTGTACCTCATGAACATTTGACAAGATAACGTAAACTGACGTCACACAGGCGGACTAATGCATAAATAACATTGGCTTTAAACTGGCAAATGTTAGCAATTGCACCATACCAGGTTCATGAATTGGTAACGTGTTGGGTTCTTGACAATGGTGACCAATGTTTTGAGTTCAAGGCAATGTTTTCAGTGCATATTGATAAAAATCATCACCACTTCACGACTCCATACAAGAGTGTAGATTCTTTCTCAGTTGGGGACGGAGTTGAGAACTTCGGCGGATATTCACCTTCAGCTTTCCCCCGCCCCCAACTTTGGGTGGAAGCCCCGGGCCAAACCCCAAGACAAACCTGTTTGTTAGCGTATATTAAGCGTAAGTTGTTCAGCCTCCCCCCACACACAACTCAATTTGCGCAACTACGCTCCTGTCCGCATATGTGTAATGCCTAAGTCTCCCTTGATCTGGGTCACAACGCCTCGTCCTGGATATCGTTGAAAATAGGCGTCACTGTCCCCCATCAGATCCGTACTAAGGCCTGCCGTACCCACGAGCCAAATCATTCCGAGAAGCGACCGTCAGGAGGAGCCGGCGTCCCTCCACGTCGTGTCGCCGGTGTCGTGTTGTCACCTGCCCTGTCTACTGAGGTCGGACTGATGCATTAAAAAGGTCCCGCAACGGACGGTTTCGTGGCTTGTGCACGAGAGCATTTGATCCATCAGCCTGGTCTGTTGTTTCGCGCTGCTGCGACGCCTGGTCGTCCAGACCCGGGCCCGGCCTCTTTCTGTTCGTCATCCGTGTTCGCGTTCTTCGCGTTCAATTTCCTTCCTCATTTTTTCGGGCCTCTCACAGCCTCTAAAGTTATTTTTCCCCCTCAATTACATGGGAAGGTGAAATTGTGATGACGAAGCAGCTCTTGAAAAATCCGTCTGATCTAGCAGCTGACATGAAAATGCCTGATATTTCAGACAGCAAAACGTTTCAATAGTTTTGTTCCTCATTTGTTAAAAGTGCTTGAGCCTGCAGTCAGCAACTGCAAGGTATAACATTCAAAAACGCGTGACAGCCTAGCATGCCTGAAGGTCAGCAGGAGAATGTTATCATTCTTATCTAAAACTGATTGACACCCCGTAAGTTGTTAAGTGTAGTTGCAATCAGTATTGTTTGCACATAGAGAAGACAGCACCAATGCCCTTGTTCCTCGTGAAACATCCAGGAAAATGGAGAAAATAGACTTATCGATTTCGCGGCTAAATGTCTTTATCGCAACGAATATCAATAGTTCTGGTATAGTACAACTGATATTCGTCGTGATACGGGCATGCAGCCGTAAGAGCATGCATCTATTTTTCATGTTTCTGGTTATTCCACGTGTAACGAGGCTATTTCCACTGTCTTATCTATTAGCTTATACCCCACATAAATGCGTGGCTTTTACGTGTCATGTGTCACAGAGATAAAACAGTGAGCATAAAACAACGAAAAGTGGCAAGGGACAAAAACAAACACGTGTGTACATTGGCCGCCTCCGTGGTCTAGGGGAAAGATGCCGGACTCGTAATCCAGTGGCACTGGGTACGAGTCCCAGAGTGGGCGCATTGTCTCACCCGACTGAAATGGAATGGCCAGCTGGCAACTGGCCAACGAGGGTCAACCTAAGCCCGAGGCGCCCGTGTCGCAGCATTGTGCGGCACGTAAAACCCTCCGCATTCCTGTCTCGCAAAATGGCGGAGGCAAAATTAGCTGTTGAACTGGACGGCACGCTTCGGTGGTGGGTTCGGGGTACACGCAAGCTAAGGTGCTAAGCTGTGCTTAGCCGGTACTCGGAATCCGAAGTCACCCATGCAAACCATTCGGAATAAGTTTATAAAAAAGAAAAAGAAGTGTACATGGAAACAGTATCAGACAGCATTGTCGCACAAAGACCGGTTTGGCAGCGCCGTCAAGTCCAGTCGTCTCACATCTTCGTTTAGGTAAGACTGCTCGTCCTGTAGCCATCTTGGCGTGCACGTGCCAGACGGCAATAACGCTGCCTTTCAGTAGCTGATAATGCGTGCCAGTGCTACTTCAATCAATCGCAGTCTGTTATCTCACATGTCACATAGAGCGGCAGCGGGTGTAGACGAAGAGCAGTTGCAATCACGAGCTTCACAATGCACCCAACGGTAGAAACATCCGACATGATTTTGGGTTAGTCCTCTTTCGACAAAAACTGCCTTCTTATTATTGTTTTACCTGCTAATACAACAAGATGGTTTTTATCGATTTTCTAAGAATCGTGCGGCTGGTGCTCGCCCACAAACTTATCTCCGGCTGTCCGTTCTGAGGTGAGATATACAAAGAGGCGGATTTGTTCATGGCCAGCGTATGACTATGTAATTCTTGGAGCTGGTTCATGTGGTGGCGGGACATACGTTCAGTGATGCGAAGGTTTTGACCTAAACCAGCCCAGAAGAGCGCAGCCAGGTGACGACCGACAAAGAAACATGAAACATAGCGTTGGCGCTCACAAGCCTGTGTTGCCGTTGGGACTTAACGGCACGCTTAGCCTACATGGCGTTGCCTGTCTCTCACAGGAAGAAGCCATATAGTCTCATGGCAGGAAGGGTGAACACCGCAGCAAACAAACCTGGGATGCCTCTGGTTCACCAGGCAGGCAGCTTAACCACCGCACTGCCTGCAACCCCATCCACAAACCTAGGAAGGTAGACCCGCTGCGTGGTGCAGATGACACAATTACGAGCAGCACCGGCCTCGACGGGTCCTCCAGCCTGTTCAGCGGCGCCGAACTGAAGTTCACTGCAGGCAGAGAGAAAGTGCAGGTGTCAACCTAAATCCCAGGTGCATGTCTTTGCCCACATGTATGTGCAGCCTGGTGGAGGTTTCTATTACCTCGTTACAGACCTGGCTCAACCTGTTGACTTGGATGCCTAGTTGTTGGTTTTGGCCCACGCAATATCATTATTAAAATGTTATAGAAATTGAGGACAAGGTGGCCAACTATCAAAAAACTAATCGAACTTCTTGGGCAACATCTAATGGTTATGACTCTCATGTTATCCTCTAAGGGACTTGATACACAACGTGTCGTTCAGCGAAGTAACGTTAGCTATATCTGTTCAGGAACGCATGTTTGGCAGGTGGTGAGGTTTGCGGGACCTTTATTTGGCGCTGCTATCACTTGCACTAGTCTATGCTGCTGTGAAGTCTATGCTGTCATGAAGTCGCGTAGAATACGGCAGCGCAAACTAGGGTGTGACGTCACATACTCCACAGGCCAATGGTTAGCTGATGCCTAGTTACGCAACGCCAGAAGAGCTGGTGGAGCTCTGTGTCGTTCCAATATACAGGTCGGGACTCTCGCGAGAATCCCTGGCGAGCTCACCTCAGTCTGCGGGATTTCGCACACCCGGTGCCTCGCCACACTCATGATGACACACCAAATGTCCGTAGGATGCCCAACAGCTGGCCAATGACGTTGCCATGGTTACGGTAAGCAAGGCTTCATAGGTCCTTGTCAAACGGCGTTCTGCCACGTGCGGTTCGGATAAACGTAACATATGTTTAGCCCGAAGAAGTGCATCATTTGTGGGTCAGATATGCTATGGGTCTTCGTAAGACGCCTTGCGTAAGAGCCTTGGGTAAGACACCTTGGATTAACATGCGTATCGGCCTTGGGTTAGGCGTCTGCACAAAAAGCGTCTTCTCTTTGAAAATGGAGCACGCTTTTCGCGCTGAAATGGAGTGCCGAATGCACGTACTCTGCTGCATCAGCATCCGGCTTTAGCCCCACAAAAGCGTACACGCCCTGACGTTAAGCTCTCCAGCTTAAACGAAAGCGTATGCTGAGGCTGAGGCCTCCCAACAGGATCACATCGAAAGGAAATGAGAAAATGCAGTACGCTAGCTTCGGAACACTGGAATCAGTGTTTGCGATTCCCGTAGTGCCCACTTTCCCCGCCAGAGTGACAGGCAGGCGACACCGCACAGCCTCAGCAGCTGTGTGCGTTGTAAAAACCCCAATGACGAAATATAGGTCATGTTTTGCAAGAAAACATACGCAGCACAAGCCGCGGTAAGCCGTGCGAAGTTTGGTGTGCTGGCATCGACCTGGGACAACCAGACTAAATCAAAGGAATCGAAGCTGCTATATCTACAGTGCTCTATCCAGCGTCGATACGGCATGTCCAGAAATAAGCTGCTGTAAGTCACAATAACGAGAAAATCGGCCATATGATCATCCGAAAAAGCCTAATCTGTGGCCTGGGGTGGATAAATGGAACATCGGATGCCGTGTCCATTGATCATGCTGTGATCACATTAGACGAGACATGCAACGAGGGCCAACCACGCCACGGCTGCCTGCACTGTCGGCACCACGGCGGCGCTCAAACCAGGCGACGAAATTCTGACCACCACGCGCCAGACCCGACGGGCTCTGAGTGTTCTGCCTTCGGTTTGATTCAAAAGGTACCTGTGAACTGAGGAATCCAAAAGCAGCTTTGTGACAGTGAAGCAGCTTCTGCGGGCTCAGGAACTAGGAAACTCGCCGCGATTCGCTCGCCTTCGCCGCCTGGGTGGCCGGGGACTGAACCATGTCAATATATGGCGTCACCCACAGCCCATATAATCGATGACGGCATTGCGGTTGTTATCGCTTATGCACAACCGTTGTCTCGTCAACCGTCAAGCTATTGTTGCCCACTGCTCTGCCAACCCTCAGGGGCAAAACATAATTTCACAAAAAACCCGCCGGGTCCGAACATGTGTAAACGTCCTTATACGCAGCCAATACTAGCATGCGTATAAACACCCGTTTGAAGCGTCATTGCACAAAGAAGGAAAGTCCTCTAAACCCATTCATGGGTTGTGTCCGCGATTACAACGATGAGAAAATATTTAATGCCTTCCTGGCCACACCAGACAGAAAACATCAAAATGACCACCAGCGCATACATCATACGCCACACACAACCACCTTTGTCTTTATGTGATGTGACGTTCGGCGCTGGAGCCCTGGCTGGCATACATTAGCGTACCGCATTGTCACCATTAAATCAACCAAGAGCGCGGGCATGTCCGAGTGACAGGGTCCCGCGAACGGCCTGTCTAGCCCCACGCGCCGCGGGCGGCCGGTCCCCAGTCGCACACGCCGCGGGCGGCCGACCCCCAGCCCCCCGCGCCACGGGTGGGCGGTCCCCAGCCCCCCGCGCCACGGGCGGCCGACCCCCAGCCCCCCGCGCCACGGGTGGGCGGTCCCCAGCCCCACGCCCGGCCGGCCGGCCGGTCTCCAGCCCCGCGTGCCGCGGACGGCCTGTCCTTGGCCCCACGCGCCGCGGACGGCCTGTCCTTGGCCCCACGTGCCACGAGCGGCCGGTCCCCAGCCCTACGTGCCACGGCCGGCCGGTCCCCAGCCCCACATGCCACGAGCGGCCGGTCCCCAGCCCTACGTGCCACGGCCGGTCGGTCCCCAGCCCCACATGCCACGAGCGGCCGGTCCCCAGCCCCACATGCCACGAGCGGCCGGTCCCCAGCCCTACGTGCCACGGCCGGTCGGTCCCCAGCCCCACATGCCACGAGCGGCCGGTCCGCAGCCCCGCGTGTCACGGCCGGCCGGTCCCCAGCCCCACGTGCCACGAGCGGCCGGCCCACAGCCCCAAGCGCCGCAGATGCGTGACCAGGTGGAGCGAGCGCGGCGGCCGGCAGGCGCCATGTGTACGCGTTGGCCGGTCACTCGGCCCATTGACAGGAGGGTCGGGTGCGATCGACCGTGCTCGGCCGCTGCTGAACCCCCGATCGATGGCTGTGTGCCGCCGGTCACCCCGGTGGGCGGCATCGACCCGTCCACCGAGCACCGGTGGCTAGTCTTGGGGTTCCTTCTTCCAGGAGGCAGCCATCGTCCTGCGGCTGCTGTTGGCGGCACCCGCCCGCACTCTGAGCGTGATCGGTCCTATGATTTTTAATCTTAGCAATAGAACCATAGGCTCATCGTGTCCATAATCGTCATCATTAAGGATTTTATCAGCGACAAGTGCGGGTGATGTCTGTGACACATTTTTGGCTTTTTTCTCGTCGAATTGTTGATGGGATGTTATGGCCTACTGCACGAATATCCGGAACGCCGTAATGTACAAGGAGTCCTAAATATATAATAACTCAAGGAAGATTTAATTTCAGATTACCAGGGTTTAATATCTATGCTGTGAACGGAATGCAGCTAATGTAGTCAGTTTTATCATCAAATAGAAGCATAACCAGCCATGTCGTTACCTATCTCGGGAACCATGCCAGCCTCTACTGTACGGGTTTTCGGCCAGCCGAAAACACAACAGCAAAAAGCAAATAAAGACATAAGCATGGAGGAAGCACCCAGCCTCGGCTTCGTTTTGACAACGGATCACATGCCCAGCCTCAGCACCCAGGCTGCCAGTAACATTGCGGGCCGGTTCGGGGACGGCACCGCCCCAGGGCCGGCACCGGCGCCGCCAGATGGCTCGCTCATCCCAAGTCCCGCAGTACCGTCCGCCACTGATTAACAGCGCACTGTTTATGCGGCGCTGAGACAGACAGATGAGAAGACACAGGCCAGTCCCTACAGACCAGCGTACGCAGAATCAGCAGCGTCCTTGGACCACGTGGTATTTTCCTCCCAGCCAGCGTTTCGCGCTGCAGCGTTTCTGTGAAGTTTGGCTTTGACTCGGCGCCTGGTAGCACTAGCCATTCTCACAGACAGCAGCAGCCGTCCAAATAGTTGTTTTCACTGTTCGTTGTATCAGTTATTTGGTCTATATATTTCAGCGCCGTCATCTGAACAAGAGTGCAGCACGGCGGTATTCTGGTTTGCTTCCGCGTGTGCTGCGTCAAAAAAAATTGGGCTCACAAAGTCCACGTCGTTTGACAAAAGAAACAACATATTTTGGCAGTCCCAATCTCCCAAAACCCCAACATCGTCTGTCACACGCGCCATTTTTTGTCACATGCGCCAAAAACTGTCACCGCGGCAGGACGTCTACCTAGTCCACATGCGTGACGACGACGCACCCCACCGCGGGGACAGGGGGGGGGGGGGGCGTGCCGCAGGGCCCTGCGGCACGCCCCCTCCCCCCCCACTCCACACGTGTCCGGCTGCGACGAACACAATCTCAGACCTTCGGCGTCTATGACGAACACATCCGCAGCGCCGTCGGCGTTTGCCGACTCAGCGGGAGCCATTGAGACGTCAGCCGACCCGGCCGGACAGGTGCGCGGCGCGAGCTGTGTCGGCATTACACGGTGGAGCGCAGCCGTCACATATGTGGCACGGCTGGGGCGGATGAGACCTCTGCCGAGTCGGTCGGCCCGACTGTGACGCAGATGGCCTAGCACATCTGTCTCCCCTCCCCCGCCCCCGGCGCTCTGACGCGCTCGAGACAACTTTGGCAGGGTGAGGTGGCTAAACCATGGATGAAGAGGCCAGGGTGGTTCAGGGCACATGGTGTTCAGCTAAGTCCATCCGAGCCGGATTGATGTCTAGTGGGACATGCCCAGATCGTGCGATGTTGCTGGGTGGAGGAGTGGCTGTAGCGTCAGATGATGAACGTTGGCACTGGCGCGCGTGTGCATGTGCGTGCGCGTGTGCGTGACACTGAGGAAGGGATTTGGGAGCCGACTTATGTGACCTGAGGTCCTTCCAAAGTAATGAAAAATCAAAATTGGCCTTGTGGACCTTGCCTGGAAATGAATAATTGACATGACCGTTCCCACCAGCTTCGGTGGGAACACACCTGGACTGCGGTGGATCCATGTGTAAAGCTACATACACACAACAATACGGTATTGGACCAGACTATCCCGCGCTGTGGTGATAGACAATGTCCGTGCCCCGAATTGTCAGGGGAAAACCATTCGATTACGAAGATACTCTCCCAAATGAGCAAATACCCGACAGGCCCCCACCATATAGCGCACGCAATGGTGGTGATAGAAAGCATTGGCACCAGGGCTCTGGCGTCGAACCGCCAAACCGGCTTGTTCTACAGCGAAGCAGGTGTATGGTGAAAAGGCATAGCGCCGAACCACGCATGCTCTAATCAGCTTTGCATGTGATGCGATGTGATCATTCCTCGATCGTATGTGTTTGTTTTCGGTTTTCGGTGTTTTCGAGATGTGTATGCATTGCAATGCGATGTTCTCAGCATTGGGATAGCCTCTCTGAACTAATCGCGCGGACCAGAGGACACGACAGAGTGATTACAATTACATCCAGGCATGAATACATCTATACACACGTAATAGAACCTTGCACATGTGCATACATATTAAAGAGAATGTTTCGAAGTTTAAGATATTGAAATAGGCATAAGATATGATGAACAAGCACACTTATAACTATTGGTATACATTTCAAGTAGAAAAATTGCCCTAGACAGCACCATTCTGGGTGTGGTAAATATGCTCCTCAATGCGTCATGGTTTGATTACGTCACGGTAGTTTACACCACATTGATTAACAGACAATTGACGGCCATTTTATCTGGCAATCGTGCTCACGAACGCCAGGTGTGAACACATCGAAAAATAGACTTCTCTTTGTCTTAATCGCCGTACGGCTTATCGAATCGCAAGATCTGAATGACGCTCTTATGGCGCCATGAATGGCAGAGTGGCTTCGAAATACTCTCCCCGAAAAACTTGTCCTATTTTCGCGGGCGTGTAGCTCACAAACTAGAGGGATTTAGGTCTTAAGAATGACTGGGTCGCAAAGACCATCGAAAGGTCTTCAGGATGGCTATTTCAGTACAAAACCCCATATAAATGTAGAGCACTCTCTGTAAAAGATCCTACGATGTTCAGCAGGAAATGGTCAAGCCATTTCCGGCGCTGTCATAACTTTAATGTATCATTCCGTCCTGTGCGACACCTTACACTGCTATGTTAGTTAGTACTGATGTGTCCAAGAACTGGATGCTCTGAGACAGAGAGCGATTATTTCGTACCTATATTAGGTTGTAAGCTGGCTGAAGGTTGCTATGACTTGAAAGGGCCCGTCCGATGGTCTGCGCCGTAAGCGTATAGGCCAATGACATCAGCATAACTCAGATAGGTCGCCGGTTGTAGGCTGGTAGATGCCAAGAGCATTGACTGTGTTGCATACATGACAAATGATAGCGAGTGGGGGCAGTGGCTATTTGACTACCCACCGCCACTTTGTTAGATTGTCTGAAGAATGAGTGCCCATACGAACCCCGACTATTGTGCAGTTGTTCAGTTGTTGCTCAAGAAGCTCTCGTATGTTGACCAGCAAGGGCCTTAATACGTCTGTATTATCCTGGGAGACTTGATAAAAGCCAGAAGTGGTTTCGTCTGTAGCCCCAGTACAAGCCCGCTGTAGGATCATGATGGCAGGTGAAAGGTGAGTGAGACGTTTTACTTGCTCACGCAGGCTTGTCTTAACGGAGTTGTCCTCCTTTACCGCTGATGCTAACGTCGTATTCCTGCAGGTTTTTGTGAGCTAATCAATGCTAAAATAGTATAATACGTTATCATAAAAATAATACGTAAATACGTAAAATACGTATATGATAATAAAATACGTGGCAAGTTGACTGGAATCAAGTGCGAATCTATCCTCCCGAAACTATTTCTATGACATATTAAATCCGAAATTGGAAGTGGCAAGAATGGGAGACGTAATGACCGAGTGGTTAAGTACCTTAGCACCGGCCCTGCACGTGGGTGCCGGGTTCGAAATCCGGCCGCGCCATGAACCCTGAGCGCTAATATGACATATGCAGTCGCTGACGCTCCCCGAGAGCATCCATAAGGGTCTATGTGAGTCTAGACCCGATGGTCTAAGTCTAGACCCGATGTGAGTCACGCTCCTCTTAACAAAGTGATCATATGCGTTGCAGCCGAGATACCCTCACTGACGGACCAGCCGCCTGTTCGTACCTGGGGCGGGGTCGTTCAGAGGCACGAGTTGTGCTGGACGTGGAGAAGTGCCGCTGGCCAGCCGCCGTCCGTCCACACTGTTTTGGTTAATCCAGCGCTGCGAGGACACGCTGGCCGGCAAGGCTCGTTCGTCCCCGGGCGGCGCGAACGTGCAATTGCCCCCGTCGCAGGGGCCGCCGCCTGCAACGCACAGCGCCTCATTTAAGGACGTCGGGGATTTAGGGATTCAGGGACGGCGCGGCGTCGGTACAACTCCCCGCTGGCCGCGAGACCTGTCGCGTGCGTGCGTGCGTGCGTGCGTGCGTGCGTGCGTGTGTGTGTGTGTGTGTGTGTGTGTGTGTGTGTGTGTGTGTGTGTGTGTGTGTGTGTGTGTTGTGTGTTGTGTGTGTGTGTGTGTGTGTGTGTGTGTGTGTGTGTGTGTGTGTGTTTGCTGTGAAGAAACGCGACGCGGCGTCCGTCTTTCTGTCCGTCCGTCACATTTTTTGGTTGCAACGTGCCTGGGCCGGACATCGGACCACCGGCCGCTGAAATTTGGGCACGGTGTGCAAGCGTGCGGGATAGCGTACAGCGTCGTTTTTCGTGGGGATGCGGTCGGCGGGCAGAGTATGGCACGTGCTGCAGGGTGCAGTTCTGGCCCATTGGTTTAGCACGGGTGGCGGAAGCCATGAACTGCGTGATACAGTAAGGCAGCCGTTCGAAACCGTGTTGACATCTTGGTGACCACAGCGCGGAGCGACTAGACGTTGACACAATTTGGTAGATAGTCTAAAGGAAAGCCGCGTGGTACTAAATGTGGGGTCAAACGTGCCACGGCCTTGCTAGTGCTCAGGGGACCATGACCCAACCAGGATACGAACCCGCGCCCCCGCGCTTAGTAGTCTGACGCGCTAACCACTCGGCCATTACACCCCCGCTGGTGCTCATCTGCTCATCTGCTCATCCCGAGTATTGTGATGTGCTCATGGTTTGGCACTTTCTCGTGGTGTTCTTGCATATTTTTCCGTGAATTTTTTACACTTGCATTTACTTACTCAATTATGGCGTTATTCTTTATTCAGTTGATACTCCGTTTCTTTTTTGTCATAACTAATACTGCTGCCAAATTCTCGTGTAATATAGCGGGGAACGAGATTCATGTTTGAAACTTACTCACGACGCCTTTAACTGGCTGAAGGCCAACTGCGGTCCATTGATGCTACGAACTGTGCTGGCGTACGCCAAAAACGAACAATTCGATGATACTTGTTATTTACATTGAGCGGTACACGGGTATTGAGGTAACAGCACTCGCGTGAGGTATCTATGGAGTCTTGCATGCCTGGTAAATCTTCAAATAGTCTGCACGAAATAGCCTGCACAGGTTCGCGGGTGTCAAGATAAAAAACAACAGGGTTATAAGTATTAAAAAGGGTGGCATTGTTAAGTGTATTGAATGATCTTCAAAACGTCTACCCCCGTGCAAACCACCATACAACTGAGGAACACTCACCTTAATTCACGGATTACTCATTATGGACCATGCTTGCGGAAGCAAGCTCTGTAAGTAACGCACACACAGCGGTTGGTTGCTTTATGGGAATTACGTGATTTAATGGTTGGTAACGGACAAATCTGGATATTCCAGTGGCTCATTGCCAGAAGATTCACATCCGATTGACCACTCACCCACAGAGCGCTCCTGGAGGCTGGACAAAAGAATAAAAAGAGACAGAATGCTCCACAACTAAACAATAGTCAAGAGAAAGCTACAGCAAACTATGGTTCGCCGTATTTCCAGGAGTGTGATGTCCGCCATCAGTGAGACAGATGGATGCCATTATTGACGACGGCGCAAACGTCACCTATCACGGAAATGATGTGCCTTGCGATGATTAAGTACGCTGATGAGTGCATCCGCGAGGAACATTGTGCACATAGCTAGGACAGTATTGAAAACCTTACTCCTCGCAGAATAGCCAAGAGAAAGGAGAGATAGACGTATTCAATAGTCGATTCGATTTGATTGTGATGTATGGTGACTCAATTACAGATAATTTAATGGATGTAATCGATGCATTTATATATTTCTTCTCCCGTCTATTCTACAACGAAGACGGCTATTAGTTCTGCCCAGCTTTGCAATAATGGTTTTTATGCTGGCTGTGGTGGTGACACTCCAAACTTTGTAAAGTTCAAGACCCCAGGAAGTATTCCGAGGAAGATGATTGTGTGTATAGTCATCAGCCGCTGTGGAATCTCCTACTCAGCTGACTGCGGTAGGATGGCGACCATAAACAGTGAGTTTACCAAGAACAGGGCATCAAAGCTAAATTAGTGTCCTGTACTGGCTTATCAATATGCAGAGAAGGACTCTGTGACCTGGCCAGACTTCGCGACGGTTCATTTAGCAGGTAAAACACTTGCTGTCCTTGAGGAGCTGGCCATGCCGTACGACGAGAGGGTTAAGAATCGCCTTAATGTGCCGCAACCGTTTCCGATATAGGGCAGGTGGGCTATTATGAGGCAGGGGGTGCATAGAGGAAGGGGCCAGTGAATGTGGAACAGGAAAATGAAAGAAGGCAATGTCATAGCTACCCGGGGCATACATCACTGCCATGGCAATACGAGAAATTTGGGAAGACATAGCGGTTTACAATGACGATGCGTCCCCAGTAAAGGCTGGCATTTAAAGCAGAAATGTCCCTTGACAATGCATATAAATCGGTCGTATTGGCTTTTAAGCCATCCAGAAAGACAAAACTAATGCCAACGGATTTGTAACTACAACATCTGCACCCTTACCGAACTTTCTGAAGTACTGTTGCGACAGGAATAGTTGAAAACAGCCAACAAGCAGCAACACCAGTACACTTGTCCAGTAGAAGAACTCTTTTGCTGTCCTCGGACGCGTCATGTTAGAATCTTGCACCACTTTTCTGGTCGTTGCATCTAAGTCTCATGCCGCAGAGCTGCTCAGGATCATCTGCAAACGAGATAAGGCAACACGAAATGGACATGCTGTTCGCACAGGCAGCCTGAAATAACAAAACTAAACTGATTAAGTAATGCAAAGATGTAGCCAATGCGCAACAACTTTGTAACTCATTTTGAAATATGCATGTTCACTGATGAAATTGTCCCGAGAAGTTACTCTACATCTGTCCAAACATTCAAGATAAGTTAAGTGGCGTATTTTTCGAATCTGGATATTATATTTGTGAATGCTTCCCGAGCTACATCCAACGTCAGGCTTTTGGCGACAGAACTTAGTTAGATTACAACGAAACCGCGATATATCTCATCGTTCCTGTAACTTTTAACCGATGTTCTTTTACTCACATGCATTGTATTATCAACATGGCCACTTGCAGCATCCACACACCTATGTCGAGCCCCTGATTAAGTGATGCAAAGATGTAGCCAATGCGCAACAACTTTGTAATATTCAATTGGAATCTGCATGTTCACTGCTGAAATTGTCCCGAGAAGTGACTCTATATCTGTCCAAATATTCAAGATAAGTTTAGTGGCGTATTTTCCGAATCTGGACATTACATTTGTGAATGCTTTCGAGCTTCATCCAACGTCAGGCTTATGGCGAATACTATATCTCGATGTCCTTGACACGTATCCTCTACACCAGAATCGACCAGCACGTGTCCTCGTTTGGTCGTTGCTTTCGCAACACTGCCCCCGGAAATGGTGTCATGCCGGTTGTCCCACCCCCCATTGATGTACGTTGGTAGCCCCACGGCCTACTTTTTATTAGCCCCTGGGCTTACGTATCAAAGGCCTGCTTGTCACAAGGCTATGGGCCGAATTTTATCCCCCCCCCCCCCGGTTTTGATGCATTCGGCACGAAAAGGAAGACTGTTTAATTAGTTTGCGCTGATCAGTTGATTTTGTATTGTCCAGCGAAATCAAACTCTCAGGGCGTACCATGCCAACGTTTTTATGCACGGTACGCCGGGAATTTTCCGACTTTCGAAACTTACGCATTGCCTTAGCAGCTCAATCGGTAACGTACGGAATCCGTGGTCGTAATAATGTGCGTTCAAATCCGGGATGCGTTGTAAGTTTCCCATTAGTTTTGTATGCAAGATGCTGAATTGTTTGCTTACAGTCAATGCACGCTGAAAAAACAGAAAAATATGAGCGCAAGATTGTGTTTCAACTCTAAATGCATTTACTATAGTAGCATCAACGCCACGTTATCTTTGGTTTCAGGCTGATAAATAGGTAGTGTAAACTGAAGTTTGAGCCGTTAACTGGAGCTAGAAGAAAAACCAAGGGTACCACTGTCGCTTCACCACATTCCACTGCAGCTTGTGTACTGAACTTCGTTCTACCCGGCGTTTGTTATCTCGGTTTGCTCTCGCCGAACCGATGAAAAGTTGACCAAAGTCCAACTTTCCGCTGGTTGCTGACCGGACTGTTCTGCCCCCCCCCCCCCCCACCGATATTCGCCAATACCACCTCGGTTCACACCTCCCACACCTCCCACCTACACCTCGGTTCACACCTCCCACCTCGGTTCACACCGCCGCTGCAGATGCAGTCCATCATTGTTGCCCCCGCTGGCCGTCCATCCAGGCAGGCGTGTCGCGATGTCAACCGGGCGTTACAGGTAACTCAGTGTTGCGTCTGTTGCTGAATTACTTAAGTTGGTCAGTGCATTGGCGAGGAACATTATTCACATAGATAAGACAGTAGTATAAGCCTTATTCCTCGGGGAAACACCAGGAGAATGGAGATATAGTTGGGTTGCTATTTCGGCAGCACGCTTTCATCGAAACAATAGCAAAAACTTCAATCTTCCCTGTTCTGTATGTATGGAATGTGCTGAATTGTTTGCTTATAGCCAATGCATGGAGAAAAAAAGAGAAAAATCTGAACACAAAGCTGTCTTTCAACTTTAAATGCTCTAAGCTCATCTGCTATGGTTTCGATAAGGGTATGTTGCCGAAATATCAACCCAACGTTATTTCCATTCTCCTGGTTTTACTCCGAGGAATAAGGCTAGTACTACTGTATTATCTGTTGCTGAATGACCAATCGTCGATCGCTCACTTAAACCCGCATCTAATGTATTCAGTACCTTTTCTATGCAATTCAAGTATTGTACATACCATCAGTACAGTGTCCACTAGGGACAGCGGATTAGGTGCAGGGGGGCGGGGGGAGGGCAGTCCCCGCGCAACTTGCCATCCCGAGCAATTTAATATTACATTCCGCACTGCAATCCAATTCAATATTCACACACACAATCCAATTCAACACTCACCCTAAGTCGGTAAATTGCAAGAAACAGGGTAAAGATGACGTTGATAGAGGTTACAGAGGGTCAACCGCCACTGGTGTCCTAGCATCTGGCTAACACCTCTAACCTGATGTAATTTTCATGCCACAGCACATTCGAGCCTCACGCGCCTCCTGCGTGATCCGAAGGCATCCTCACACTTTCATTTACTCACCACCCCGCCATACAGTCACGTGCATCAAGACTGTAGGGGCACTGTCTCAGCACATCGCTGAACTGTACGTAGCTGACCGCACATATGAAAACCAAACTTCCGTACATATTTGTAACCCAGCACCGGATACTGACCATACACTCCATGCTCGTTGACGCGATTGTTCGCTGCTAAGGCTCAACCTTAGCCGAGGCACGGAGAGCTGAATAAGCTTCATAGTCAGGCCGCACCGCAGTCGGACTGCTCCGAACCGGGTGTTTAACGGGTAATGATACACACACACACACACATATATATATATATATATATATATATATATATATATATATATATATATATATATATATATATATCTATATCTATATCTATATCTATATCTATATATATCTATATCTATATCTATATCTATATCTATATCTATATCTATATCTATATCTGTTTAATATATAATATTTATATATATATATATATATATATATATATATATATCTCTCTCTCTCTCTCTCTCTCTCTCTCTCTCTCTCTCTCTCTCTCTCTCTCTCTCTCTCTCTCTCTCTCTCTCTCTCTCTCTCTCTCTCTCTCTCTCTCTCTCTCATCTATATACATATATGTGTGAGAATGTGCATTATGTAATATATGACATAAATGTATATTATACTCTATATATATGATGATATATATATATATATATATATATATATATATATCATATCATATAAGAATATGATAGGCCAGGAAGTTGTGCGGACATTGCGTGTTGCCGTTTAATCTATGCTGGCAATGGATTCAGTGAGATTGCCTTTGTTTTGTTGGTGCATATTTCGATGATTGCAGATTTGGTTATGGCTTCGGTGCGTGACTATGATGTTTGCGCAATGTTACCACGAGGGTGTTTCAGGTGTCTTTTGTTTTTTGTCTACCCCATCGTACAGATAAATAACGAACCTCAGGTACACGGACGCTCCATCTACTTCTCGTATCGCCTCCCTCGCGACTTGCATTTCGGTACGTATCCGATGTATACAGTATGACACTGTCCATGCTAAAGCAGGACTTTTCATGTTCGACATCGAACCGAGACGGCACCGATGGCGCGTGAGCCGTCCTACTCACTATGGCGGCCAATGGGAAATGTTCCACTCAATTGCAATCAGGTTCCTTTTGTGGTTGTTTTTTCAGTTAAGATTCGATGAAGTCTTCGAGACTAAGAAGTTTGCGATGTTTTCCGCAAAAGGCGGGTGCCAATTTGTTTGCTTGTTCGTCCGCTGCTGTTCTGATCGTGCTTCAAGCTAAGTGACTGGCGCATTCATGTTGTATAAACAAGTCACAAACAGCAACTTATCTGATTCATTTTTACTTTTCGTTCTGTTAAACGCGTGGTGTGTTTGAAATGTTGACTGGAGAATTCAGCGAAATTAAATGGGAGGAACTGTGAAACACTCCATGCAGTATATGTGAAATACCAGGGGGCTAAAAGAGTTTAAACCCTCAAGCTAGCCAGAGAAATCCAGAGGATGCAATGTCAAGATGACGTCACCCATCACGAACATATGCGTGAGACCATATTTTGAGAAACCACGCGGCACACATGCACATTATCGGTGTGAAGTGACGCGTTCCGTTTAGGGGTCACAACGACTTCCTGAAGGTGGGGCTCTATGATACAATATATATATATATATTTATATATATATATATATATATATATATATATATATGTGTGTGTGTTTGTGTGTGTATAAAATGTCCTCGGATAGTAACAACCAGTAAAACTTGAAGACCAGGACAGTAGTTGCTTTAATTTGCGTAATCCGTCAAAGTTTCGGTACAATTGATTGTCGTCACCAGGACACAAAGGAGCAAAGGTACAATGATGCAAGGGGGCATTCAACAAACATTGCTACGTCATATCACCTATAGCAAGGCTCATGTTTAACACGCGCCCAGGTGGCCGGCTGGATGCCTTCGCTGGGGTGGGGGTTACTTTGACTCCCCTGAGATCTCAGGAACTAAGCGAGCTAGATACACCAAATTTACAGCGTATGTTTACCTATACGTTAACTCACTGGGGTCAGAATTTGAGGTTTCTAGGTCACGATCTTTGGGTCAAATAAGGTCAAACAATGTCCAATTCCAGGCTAATCTCCAGAACCTAGATCCCTTGATCCCTGAGAACCTAGATAACTGTTTATAAGCAAAAGGTCACGTGCTTATTTAAGGCCAATGACTTTGTTTGGCCTTTTGCAGACCATGGTCACCAAAATCAGATAAGACTGCTCTGAGTTTTGCATTTGAATAAGCGACAAAGATTATGCTAGGCAGTATGTTCTTAAAAACAAAATGTTGACCTGAGTCATTTTAGAAAAATGACCTATTCTGACCTCCAAGAAGTCTATGGAAGATGTATAATGCGGTTCCTGCTATGAATAAATTGGAAATGAGCACCAGAAACTGTCCCATACAGCAAGCCGTACAATAATAAAACAGATTGGCATTGACTTTGGTCTGACCTTTCTATCTGACTTTAGGTCAGCTTTACATGCTCCTTCAATATTTGTGTTGTCTAAGAAAGCATCTTAGAGATGTATGGCTTCGTCTAACACTCCGTTGTTGCATAAGACTGAACGATTTCTTAGAAATTGCCCTCGCTGACACCATGGCCTGATTTTGACCTGCCATAGGTCAACGACCCTACAAGGTACATTTCAATTTTTGGGTTCAGACGATCCGCGATGCAATTGTCTACAGCTTTACAAAGTTTGGCGTGCCTACGCCACGCCGTTTGGAAACCAATCTGGAGAAATCCTCTGGGGGTCAATTTGACCCTCACCCGAGCGCGTGTTAACGCATTTAAACACGAGCACATAACTTATCGGTGCGCAGAGAAGAGAAGAGAAGAGAAGAGAAGCACAGTGGATGTGCCGCTGCTAGTTCGTTTCAGTTTTGAGAATGTTTAAAAACAATAAAGTGTGCTCAGATTTTGACATTTTTGCCACTTCAAAAGTGTTTTGATCAATCTTTTTGCGTGGAGATGTCCGTGAGATGAAGCAATTTCTCACTGATAAACACACGTTGTCTCTACGCCTGACAAACGAATGAGATTAATATCGTGAGTAATTAGCCATACCATGACAAAATGTGTTTCATTATCAGAAACTGCTTTAAGTTCGTAAAGGCTCAAGAGCCAATTTTGAGAAATGTTAGGCAGGTGTAGGATATAATTTATAAATTCCCCCGCAACATCAAATGTCTTGGAATGATCGCTGACGAATTCCATACAGAGCTTTATGCCTTCGGAAGTCTTCCTGGGATCTTCTAAAAGTCCAGGACCAAGTCCATCCAAAGTCCATCCAAAAGTCCTATACCCCTATAGAGTCTTCAAAATTCCCTTCAAACAAGGATATGTTCCATTAAGTCCCATTTTTGCAGCTTCTGCCACGTCCTCATCAAATATGGCTTGTGCCATCACTATCGCCTCTGAGCAAAAATGAATGTTTTCTGGCTAACCACATTCAAAGTGCACAATAATTTTCACAACTTGAACTTTTGGAAGGCATGGTTATGGCCAGCTTTGACGTTGACAGCCTTAATACAAAGATTCCGCAACCAAAAACGGTAGACATTCTCACGAAAAGTTGTAGCCTGTGTTTCGTTCACGGACTGCGGACTACTTACGTACTACATGGACCAAGGACTGCGGACTGGACTTGCTCTCTCTCCTAAAACTTAACCTCATGAACTCCGGCTTTAATGTCAATGACAATGCTCATCGACATTGATAATGACAATGTACATATAACTCAAATTCGGTGTTTTTCATTGGTGTGTGTGCCGGAAAGTTACAAGGCCAATTGGAAATCGCTGTCTATAGAATGCCCACGTTCATCGGTCTTGAGTCGAGCTTTTGCTCATCCAATCGCGACGTTTTCATATTGCGTGAAAATGGTCATTTACCGAGTTTTTGGTGTAAGTCCCAACCAAAACCTCTTTTGTTCAGAGCTTGATCTGCTCAGACAATTCCTCACAGAAAACGTGTTCTCACTTGTGATTATCAAGTATTGCAAACCTAATGCAGGTGTTCGACACTTTTCTGTCCTGAAGAATCATAGCGGTAAATTCTTTCACTGTTGGATCTTCCTCCAAGTGAAATGACAAGGTTCACAAAGCACCCCAACG